AAAAAGTTTAAAAAATTTGGGCTGGGGGTTTTTTTTTTTTTTTGGGGGGGGGGGGGGGTTACTTTGCCTTTGAATCATTTCAACATGATTCCCTGTGGTAACTTTAGAAATGGTGAATCTTACTGTCTCTTCATTTAAAATGTTCTCACATCAAGCTCTACTAGACATGCTTTTTCTAATGAAGAAATCATGTTTGAAAAAGGTTAGTTCACCCAAAAATTTTAATTGTCATCATTCACTCATCCTCATGTTGTTCCAATCCCATAAGACTTTCGTTCATCCTCAAAAAAAAAAAGTATTTTAAAGAAAATCTGAGAGATTTCTGTCCTTCTGTTAAGTTCATTCCAACAACAAGTAGATGTTTCAAGACATTCATAAAAACATTGCATACATGCATCAAGCAAAAAATTTTGAGCTTCTGTTTACTAAGTTTGAGTTGCTTTATGTAGCCTATGTGTGTTGATTAATGTTGGTATGTGAATAAAAACCTAAATCTGTCAAGTGTCTATAAAAGACTTGGATTCTTGGAACTGCCATAATTCATATTAATTAATTTTATGATGTTTTTATGAACTTTTTGAAGTGTCAAAATTTTGATTATGTGAACTTTCAGTGGAGGGACAGAAATATCTCAGGTTTCATTACGAATATTTTATTTTGTGTTTAGAAAATGAACGAAAGTTGGATCAACATGAGTGAATAAATGATGACAGAATTTTAATTTTTGGATGAACAATTACTTACTGCTTACTTGCATAAGGGTTGAATGCTAATTTTGAAGAATTGACCATTTGCACAGAGCTTTCTTTAGAACTTCCACATAAAGATAAGCCAGCTTGTAAACATCCGGTGAAGCATCATTTGATGGTGTGGTAGAGACTCTTGAGACCCTCACAGAAACCTCTCCTGCCTCGTTCTTGTCAGAAACTGAGAAACTAAATAATTGCAAAACCGTAAATAATGATAGCGGCATTAACATTAACATACAGTTTCATGTTATTTAACAATATTTTATGTTAACGTTAGCTAGCTAGAGATGCTATCTCGTAAACGACTTCGTAATGATATTCTTGATAATCAATACCTTCATAGTTTTTAAAACACTTAATATTTTAAAGCCTTTATTATTTCTCAATGCTACAGCTGTGCAGTAAAATTCACTTTAAAGATTCACTTATCATTCATAAAGATGACATGATAAATGTGCCAAAAATGTCTCCTGGTGGAAAACAAAGACTTCCTAAGATGAAATTGACATGAAATTAGCATTGTAACCAGTAGATGGCAGCAGAGGATCACTCATTAGCAGTTGCCATTTCAACTCCCTAGTTTTTTTTCCCCCACGTCTTGCTTTTTAATTTATTATAAAATGACTATTATAACGAATTTTAGGACTTTTACTGTACTGAAGTATAAAGTATAACGAGTGCTGGAAGTCACAAAGTCTCATGTCATTTAAAAAAATAAGTAATTAAGCCCAGACACCAACAAGCATAGAAGGGAAATTATTTAAAGGGGTTCTATTATGCTTTTTCACTTTTTCAACATTAGTTAGTCTGTAATGTTACTTACATGTAATGTTACTGTTTGAGTATAAAAAAAGATCTGCAAAGTTACAAAACTCAAAGTCCAATTCAAAGGAAGATATTTTATTTAACATTTTTCAAAAACTACAACGAACGACTCGTTTGGACTACAACGCATATTTTCCGGGATTTGTGATATCACAAATATCGAAGAATGGGACGAGACCTGGTTCAGCTGCACTAGAGAAGGCAACGAGTGTTATCATGTCGGAGACACGCTAGCTTTCCCAAGGCAGACGAACTTAGAGTGGTTACAATCATCCGCTAGTTAACAATTAAATAATTATTAATGGTGTAACAATTAAATAATAATGTATTCAATATTTTGAAATATTTTTAGATTTAAAGGGGTCATATGATGCTTTTTTAAAGATCATTATTTTGTGTATTTGGTGTAACAGAATATGTTGACATGCTTTAATGTTCAAAAAACACATAATTTTTCAAATACTGTAACACTCCAAAGAGAAAGGAAAACTTGAAATCGCATCATATGACCCCTTTAATATAAAACCCACATTTTTAAGTTTTATCTTAAACTGATAGCTAGAAGCTGATAAATACATTCAGCCAACAGACTTGCTGCTGTAGTTTTGTTACTCTGAATTTAGTCTGAATCACTTAATGCACAGCTCTGTTTTTGACATCGGCTCATCAGATGTTTTGTTCCGTCCGTTGCTTTTTCACGGTCAATCATAGCAATGACTCGCGGCACAATTTACTCGCTTAATTTTTTTGCACTCGCATTTGTCATTCCTGAAACTGAATACATGGACTTTAGGTCCTCTTAGACAAATAAAACGTTTTCTTCAAATTGTGAATGGATTATGTAGAGAAAGTTTATGTGCTTCCCTTATAGCACAGCTGTTTTTGACATTTGAGCAGAAATGACTGAGCTAGCTTATCTAAAACCAGGAAGTAACCGTGCATATAGTGAATTGTTATGTATGAAAACTTGCTTCACATTAAGAGTGGCACAGACTAGTCAGTTAGTTCTGCAACTAGTTGAAGCATTGAATCTGTGACAGTCGCTCTTGTTCTGCACATGGTAAGAATCGCATTTTCTGCATCTCTGATGTCACAACACTCTAGTGGCCAAATATATTTAAAATGATGTAAAGTGAAAATAAAGTGAAACCGAAGCACATTGATTCAACTAACACTAAAATTGACAACGAAAACTGTTGCTTTTTCTTGTTTAGGGGGAGTACTTTTTTACGTGAGTTAATAACTGGACTGGTCATGGGTGTATCCGTGTAAGGGAAGGGACTAACCTTGGGTTTGGCTCAGGCACTTATGTCAATAGCACCTGTGGCATAATCCGAATTTGAAGCTGAGGTACTTCAGCGTGAAGGGTGCTATTAGTGTCATTTGGCTGTCCTCCGCCTTTGCTGTTGTAGATATGCTAGGTATGACGAGATCTGCTGACGGTGTAAGATTTTATATAGAAACCATCTCTCATGTCAACAGGAAGGCTCACCTGACACTCTCCTTGCTTTTGAAAACAAATGTTATTCTCTATATGAATGAGGGTGAAGGATATACCATTGTGTTTACTTGTGATTATTTTTACTGGTAATTGTTAACAAAATTGTCCTATTAACAAAGACAAATAACAAATTATTTACACTACTGTTCAAAAGTTTGGGGTTAGTACAATTTTTAAGCTTTTAGCTGGAGTATGACCGATCTCGTGGAGAACAACTATTTATTTAAGGGATAGTTCACCCAAAAAAGGAAAAGTTGCAGTTAATTTACTCACCCTCAGGCCATCCAAGATGTACGTGACTTTTTTTTTTTCTTCAGTAAATCAGTAAAGGAGATTTTTAGCTGAAACTTTGGTCCTTGGTGATTCATGAACCGCAAGTCAGTGTCTGCCTGTATTTGAGAATATAAAACATATCCAGGAACGCAAAATTAATACCTGTGGCTCCTGACGTCATATTGAGGTCTCATGAAACAAAAACGATCGACGTGCAAGAAACCAAACATTATTTACAACATTATTACCTGTAAAAATCATCTTGGATAGCTTGAGGGTGAATAAATTAACAGCAAATTTTCATTTTACGGAGAACTATCCTTGTAAGAGGACAACATAAATCCCATCCAATCATTCATTATGTTGAGCATGTTGTCCCCACAATATCCAATTTTTATGTTATGTAATCTAAGTCCGATACGACATTCACATTTTTGTATATAAAAGGGTTCGTATCCTATTTTGGGGTTCAGTAATTGGCATTCTTTAGTAAAATATGTTCTGAAAACTTTTGACTGGAAGTATACATTGATGTCATATATTTATGTATTCTACAATATTATACTGTTTTAGATAATGCTGCCAAACTCCAAGGCAAAGATCTCACTGGTAAATTGTTGTAACTTGTAACCCATTTAGCACCTCCAGCACACCAGCCCACTGATTGAGGCCTGACATTTCACCCACTCATTCCTCTGAGGCACTTCCTCTTCAGCCTCTACCTCGGCACTTTTTGCACCAGCGCTGGTATTGTAGTCTAGTTTTTCATCCCTGTGTGCTATTAGAACATTGGAAGCATGGAATCAGGCCATATGTTCTCTCAGCACTTTAATTCTGTGCATGTCCAGTCCAGGAAGGATTACGCCGGGGTATTTATTCAAAGCTTTGTGACGTGACTGTGGCCTGACTGCATGCAGTTTGCCAGGAATGGCTATTGATCCCCTGAATGAGGGGCAGGGATCTGCTGGACATAAAAGTATGAGAAATATAGCACACATGGGATATGAAGAGAGAAGAGCAGTGGTACAGTATATAGGGGGTTAACATTCCCTCTGCCTCTTAACTTGAGTTATTTCTCTAGGATTGTACATTCTTTCTTAACTGTCTGTTTATCTTTGCCAGCCTGCTGTATGAGATTCCATGGGCTGATGAGAGTCAGTTCATCACGTTTTTCATTCTGGAGAGAAAGAAAGGGGTTTTAAGTCATTTGTTTTCTGTCAGTCTTCAGCATTTCTTTGCTCTCTTCTTCTTACTCGCCTGTACACAGGTGCGGGTTATGATAACAGTCATTCAGATTTGGAGGGAGGGTGTATCACCACACAAATGGCAGAGCAGATGGAGGGTGTGAATAGGGGAAGCTGTTTGTGTTTGTTCGGCACGCTATGGTTGTATAATAGTTTTCAAATCAAACAGAAGGTAATTGTGGCCTGGTTTTGTGCCCAAAGCATGTGGCTGAAATTTGTGATGCTCATGTAGGGATAGAGGGGTTGAGAACACATACAGATGAGACATAGACTGAAAGTTATGTAACTGTAGCTATGGGAAGACACGTAACCCAACAGACTGACTTTTCTGCAGGGTTTTTTGATGAATTTTCAGAATCACATGTCTGAACCACGTCATCATGTTTGGGCTTCCTTAAGACCGACTAGTTGGTCTGGTGCCATTCTAAAAACCCAAAACTTTTCAATTATGAAACTGTTGGTTTGCACATTATTAACCGGGACAAGATGAAATGCAGCAGAAATCAAGTTAGATTTGACCGGCTGTCTGCTCAGGCACTTGGTATTTGGTATTTAAAACTTCATCTCCTATTTTAATGCTCCATAATCCATATTTTCCAAAGAATTGCAGAGCTCTTGGCACTCTTGTACATTCCTATGTGTGATTCATTTGAGTTTTTTCATTTGAGTTCTATTTAAAAAAGAAAAAAATAACATAGCAGTTTGTAGACCATGCTCTTAACAGGTTGCACCATTTATACTGTCTCTGCTTAATGAATGGTATGGTGTAGTATGGTATGGTAAAAACAAGGAAGATAAATGTCATCACAAAATACATTTTCTATAGTTTTGAAGTCAATATGAAATCAATATTGAGCAGCGTGGTACTTTCTGATTACCTCTTCCCCTCTTTTTTCCCACATTGAATGATTCAACAATAGTTTATTGTGAATGATTCATCAATGCTGATTATTCCGAAGGAAATTGTCTGTCTTTTATTAAAATGTAATAACTTGCTCCGTCTCCTGTCCCATCTAAGTAAAATGTGAAGGTAGTTTCATGTCGATTAGCAATGAGCCGTAATGAAGGTGCCATGCTGAGCAGGTCATGGCCAGTTTCATTAGCCATAATGACACATTCCTTTGAAGAAGAGAAACAGCCAATCAATTGACTCACACACTTCAGCCACATTTAAATAGCATTTAAATGCTAAAACAGTGCTTGGCAGAATGGGAACAAACTGGTGTATAATAACAGATGACTTTATATAGAACAGTTTCAAGCAGTGTAAAACCTGTCCCACATTGAATGATTCAACAATAGTTTATTGTGAATGATTCATCAATGCAGATTATTCCGAAGGAAATTGTCTGTCTTTTATTAAAATGTAATAACTTGCTCCGTCTCCTGTCCCATCTAAGTAAAATGTGAAGGTAGTTTCATGTCGATTAGCAATGAGCCGTAATGAAGGTGCCATGCTGAGCAGGTCATGGCCAGTTTCATTAGCCACAATGACACATTCCTTTGAAGAAGAGAAACAGCCAATCAATTGACTCACACACTTCAGCCACATTTAAATAGCATTTAAATGCTAAAACAGTGCTTGGCTGAATGGGAACAAACTGGTGTATAATAACAGATGACTTTATATAGAACAGTTTCAAGCAGTGTAAAACCTGTGTGTGCTGAGTTTTGTGTTTTGTTTTGGTTCTTTCCATTAAAGTCGTTGAGTTTGGTTTAAATGCTTGTAGACAATTGGGCTGTTTTGCATAGTTCTGAATGATGTAGCCACAGCAGCATCTATTATAAAGGTTCTGGATAATCATCAGTCAAAGGTGTGTGTAAGAATGATGAGGGGAAAAATGTATGTCATGTTTTACCCATGTTCTGTCCATCTGTATTTGTCCTCAGGAGTCGGAACCCATCTGGTTCTCCTCGTCCACGCTCAATGAAGAAAGTCCACTTTATTAAGAACATGAGGCAGTACGACACCAGGGGCAGCAGGTGTGTTTATTCACTTCTCTGTGTGGGTTTTGGGGTTGTTAATACCAGTGATAACAGCCCAGGGTGTGTGTGTGTGTGCGGGCGTGCGTATACGTGTACATGTGTTTGTGTCTGTCGGTCTGTCTGTCTTTTCCCAACGCTAGTCATGTTTTCCCTAATGACACATTCCTTTGAAGAAGAGAAACAGCCAATCAATTGACTCACACACTTCAGCCACATTTAAATAGCATTTAAATGCTAAAACAGTGCTTGGCAGAATGGGAACAAACTGGTGTATAATAACAGATGACTTTATATAGAACAGTTTCAAGCAGTGTAAAACCTGTGTGTGCTGAGTTTTGTGTTTTGTTTTGGTTCTTTCCATTAAAGTCGTTGAGTTTGGTTTAAATGCTTGTAGACAATTGGGCTGTTTTGCATAGTTCTGAATGATGTAGCCACAGCAGCATCTATTATAAAGGTTCTGGATAATCATCAGTCAAAGGTGTGTGTAAGAATGATGAGGGGAAAAATGTATGTCATGTTTTACCCATGTTCTGTCCATCTGTATTTGTCCTCAGGAGTCGGAACCCATCTGGTTCTCCTCGTCCACGCTCAATGAAGAAAGTCCACTTTATTAAGAACATGAGGCAGTACGACACCAGGGGCAGCAGGTGTGTTTATTCACTTCTCTGTGTGGGTTTTGGGGTTGTTAATACCAGTGATAACAGCCCAGGGTGTGTGTGTGTGTGCGGGCGTGCGTATACGTGTACATGTGTTTGTGTCTGTCGGTCTGTCTGTCTTTTCCCAACGCTAGTCATGTTTTCCCCTCTCTCTGCTTCAAAACAGTTTGGCACTGATGCGTTACAGTTACTTTATGCAGTGCTTTTGTATGATTCATGTGAGGATATTATATCTCTGACGGTTTGTACACAAGTACTGTGTACAATACTGAAGACACATTTCCTGTTATCAGAACTAGTTTGTTAAAGGGGCCATGTCTTTGAAATTGTATTTATTTGTTTATTTTGTGCAATAAAAGAGTTTGATGTACTATTAAAAAGAAGGATAGATATTTTTCCTAAACACCAGAAACCAGAAAGTCATTCCATATACACAGTTATACACTATTGTTCAAAAGTTTGGGAGTAAGATTATCAACCAAATAAAGCAAGGATTCATTAAAGGATGCATTAAATTGACCAAAAGTGACAGTGAAGACATATGGTACAAAATATTACATATGATTTATTTTTCAAATGAATGCTGTTCTTTTGAACTTTCTATTCATCATGGAATGTTGTATCAAAAAAATTTACCACAGTTTCCACAAAAAATATTAAGCAGCACAACTGTTTTAAATAGAAAATTGGCATATAACATTGATTTATGAAGGATCTGAAAAAAAGCTCTGCACAAGTTTTACTGAAGAATGCTGACTATATTGAACCCCAAAATAGTATATGAATCCTTAAGTTACAAAATATGAATTTCAGTTATTTGACTTTAAATAAAAGTATAATTCGATATTATGGTGAGTTTTGGCACAGCCCACTCAACATAAGGAATGGCTGGATGGAATTTGTGTTGTTCTCTTAAGGAAGTGGTTGTTCTCTGTGAGATCTGGCCTCATTCCATCGTATGGAGAGAGCTTTCACATCAGGTACTCATGAAACAAACATGAAAATCTGCTGATTTGAATCAAAGGTCAGATTTGGTGATACAGTATAGGGTGATGCTAAGTTGGGTAGATTCACAAACAAGGCATTGAATCTTGCAAATTAGCTGTCCTAATGATTTCTGATGTCTTTTACGAAGCTGTCTCTCTCAAGTTGACTGGTCGCTGGGAAGGATTCTGGTGTGCCCCTCAGCCAGTCTGAGCCTTGAGTGTAGTTTGATTCAAACAGTTAATTTAATGAATCAGCCAAAAAGACTCCAAAAACTAATGAGTGTTCAGTCAGGCTAATCAGGGCTAATCTAATGACTCACTCACTTAATGAACCGGTTGTAACAGTTCTTGACTAACTCACTGAAACATTCAATATTACTTTTGCCAACTCAAAATGAACCGAGAACTGTTTGTGTTATGTACAGTAATGGCTGTAGATTGACTGTAAAAGACTGTTTATTCATATATATGTAATATAGTTAAAGTTGGCATGAAATTAAAGTTTACTGTTTTTCAATACAGATTTACCCAGATTCATTTGTGCCTGTTTGATATATATATATATATATATATATATATATGTGTGTGTGTGTGTGTGTGTGACCCTGGAGCACAAAACCAGTCTTAAGTCGCTGGGGTATATTTGTAGCAACAGCCAAAAATACATTGTATGGGTCAAAATTACAGATTTTTCTTTAATGCCAAAAATCATTAGGATATTAAGTAAAGATCATGTTCCATGAAGATATTTTGTAAATTTCCTACTGTAAATATACTCAAACATAATTTTTGATTAGTAATATGCATTGCTAAGAACTTCATTTGGGCAACTTTAAAGGTGATTTTCTCAATATTTAGATTTTTTTTTGCACCCTCAGATTCCAGATTTTCAAATAGTTGTATCTCGGCCAAATATTGTCCTATATTACAAACCATACATCAATGGAAAGCTTATTTATTCACCTTTCAGATGATGTATAAATCTCAATTTCGAAAAACTGACCCTTATTTGTGGTCCAGGGTCATATATATATATATATATATGTACAGTATGTATGTATGTATGTGTGTTAGTGCTGTCAAATCGATTCATCGTGATTCATTGAATCCAAAATAAAAGTTTGCTATATTGACACGGCCAACAACCTCCTCTCCTTTCCCACCCTCTACATTATTGTTCCATAAAATGCTGAAATAAGGAATTGGACCATGGGAAACTTTGTCTTTTAGGTTACATTTTTTGAAAGAGAGAAGAAATTAAACAGCCATGTTATGCAAGCGGTCTAAGACTGTAGATAAGGAATGCTAGAGGGAGTGAATATATATGTGTGTGTGTGTGTGTTCAGTCGGTGCTTAAAGAGCAGCGCTGTACACAACATGCTCAGCTACTTCAGTCTGGAAGGAAAAGCAAATCATTGAGACATCAGGCTGAATTTGAAGCTGTCTGTATTAGGTGAGTTAGACTTGTGTGTGTTGATAATTGAGTGTTGAATTGGCTCTGTGTTTGAACTTTTCTAAGGCTTCATGTTTTCAGTAAAGAGTCAGTAAAAATCTGTCTGCTGCTCTTTCAACCAAACAACATTAAATTTAATGAGCTAACATGTCTTTTCATCTTGTTTAGGGTTGGGAAATACTGCAAGGCTCATCTCAGGGGCTTTTATTTTTAAATATCCAACAGTCAACTGTATATCGCAGTCAGTCAGAAGTAGGTAGTATTAAGGGGAAAGACATTCTAGAGAGGGAAATTTTAAATTCACATATCAACTAAAATGATTTTAATAAATGATATCAAACACAGATGATCTCAGAGCTGTTAGACGTGGACTTAAAGCCACAAAACTCCAATTTCATACGCTTTTCGTATGCAAACACTTTGCAGCACTTGTTTATCTCTGAAGTTCAATTATAATTTGAATACAGCTTTCTTGCACTAAAAACAGTCATAGCTTTTACCTTTATGACTTCTGCAAATGACCTCAGTTATGCTTAGCTAGCCTGGAAATTGTGTAAGATTTGCTCTTAATCAGAGTTGATAATTAATTAAATGATAAAAATGTCAAATTAAATCATTTTAAAATGAAAGCGATCAAAATAAAGAACTTTTCTAAAAAAGTTCAAACATTTTATTTTTAAAAGTACATGTCATGTGACCATTATCCGACATCAGAGAGCGATAATGACAAAAAATTATATCTCAAAATTTTGTGGAATTTTGTCGATAGCAATAATAGCTGATATTTTGCTGAGCATGTTACTGTGCTGGTACTTTGGCAGGTTTAGGACTGCCATGGACAGCTGACTAATTATCACTATAACCGTATTCGATTACAGTGATTTGAACAACTGAGGATAAATAAATACTGTACTGCACAGAACTCCAGTGTGCGACCAAATGGGCGCATTTTGCGATAAATTGTTCTGCCGGTGCGACTAAATTTTGTGTGCGGACCACTGCATTGTTTAACTCGTAAGCGCTGCATTTCTGTTGCATGTGAGAAACATCAAACGGCAAACGAAACTGAAAGCATAACGAAATCGCGCGACTTGTTTGAGCTGCGCAGCGCTTCGAGTGTAGAGCCTGGTTTATACTCGCCGCGTCAGGAGCGCGAAGCTGTATGTAGCAAAAATGACGCGAAAATTGAGGAAACGATGAATGGGTTTCATGCTAAAGTAAAGTAAAAGACCGCTTCTTAAACCAAAGGTGAACATGTTGGTATTCTTGTGGGACAAAAACATGCAAGCACTGTCACCGACAGCCAGTTTAGTTTTACTTTACTGTTTGTATTCATTTTGTAAAGCTTGTTATCTTTGCTGTTTACCTCATGTTATGCTATGGAGGCTCTCTTTTTTATTTATTTGGTTCCTCAGTGTTTGCTAAACGTTCTGTAATTTATTAGTCAGTATATAATACAGCATGAGGTGTAGCCTATGCCATGCCTCATCTTATTCGTTTTTGTTAATAAACGTTTTATAAGCTAGTTTGTCTGTTACAACCCTTTGTTTTGTATTTTCTCGTTTCGGTCTCTTTTGTTTTGAAAGTGTCTGTATCCAGGTGTGATGCTGATTGGCTCCTGCAGGCTAATCTGGATTGGTGCATTAAAAAAAAGGCACACCTTAAAAGCCCTGATGTCACTTCCTTTCCCCAGAGCAGAGCAGAGTAGAGGAAAAAGAGAGAGAGAGAGTTGTTGGGTTTTGGCTGTTTGTTCTCTTAGTTGAATGTGGGTTGTTTAGAGTGAGGATTGTTTGATCTTTAAAAGAGATACGAATTTTGTAAGTAGGAACTGTTTGGTTTTGACCTCATTGCTTGTTATGACGTGGATTTGGATTCTCCTTTTAACTCTGTTTGCCTGATCTTGTAAATGGTTGTATATCATTGTAAATATAGAGGGTTGGGAAAGTAAGGAGTTTGACGCCATTTTGTTTATTGTAACCTTTTTGATTTCTGTTTTTGGTTAGGGAGTTAGGTTAGTATATTGTACTTTTTATTTTATTCTATTTTGTATAGGGTTTAGGAAAGAGGTCTTAAAATAAGGAAGTTTTGTTTATTATTTTGACCTGGTCAACTCCTGAAGGAAATTCCCTATTCATTGATTTATTTTGATGATTGTACCTTTATCAGTGGCGGGCCATGCATTTTACACCTAGGCCTTCAGTGGCGTCCTACATGAATTAATCCATCTCTTCATACCATCATAATGATACCACGGCTATAGAAACCATAAATATTACACAGTAATGCAGTATAACAGGGCACTACATAACAGACAGGTATCTTATGTAGCGAGAACGAATGCCATTGCTAAAGAAAGAAACCCAATTAACAATTGCGCGACACATCATCTGTAGCTGAAGCATTAACCTAACAAAATGACACAAATACAGTCCATCCGATGTTCTTACAGACATTTATTCACCCAAACGCATTTATACCGATAGCATTGGTATAAAACAAATAAGCGGTGCGGCTGGAGGAAAAGACCGGTTAATACAGCTCCACTCTGGAAACTGAGATATTCAGCATTAGGACTGCTGTTTTTAGATTGACTAATTATAGTAGGCAAATATTTTTTCAAAATGCACTGAAAATCTAAACCTGAGAAACAGTAATAAAAGTTTTACTAAGTTTTAATAAAATGATTTACAGTGATGCTGTTTGCTAGCTAGTATGCTGACCATCCACTCAAAGGACGAGAAAATGCTGACGTTATCGTTAACCAGCTAGATGGCCCTAGTGCTGCCAACTCGAAATCTGATTGGTTAAAGCAACGGTTTCATTGCCATTGATTTAAGCTAACAGACGCCTGCGCTGTTGATTCTGAAGGCCTTAAGGCAGATTTCTTTGACCCTGGCAACACGATTGCTGAAATATGATTGAATAAAAGCTCTAATATAAACATACACTGCTGGAAGCAGTGCAACCAAGAGAAAAGCTATGAAATGAAGAGAATAGACTATTGGAAATAATTTTATACACATTCATGAGAAAATATATTAAAATTAAATCAGTGATTCTGATAGTGTTTAGGCCAGCAGAGAAGGCTTTGCTGGCCCTGACGGCCCACCACTGATATATATATCTAACCTAATTAAATGTATGTATCAACTTTTGTGTCAAACTCTTAAATTTAATAAATACATTCAAAAAGTAAGACACTATAGAGCTGTTATTAACAAAATTTGTGCTTGCAAATGTAGAGGTTGCACTCTGCATCTGAAGTGGCATTTAGATGCATTTACACAGGCTGTTTAATGCAGGACATGAATGCATGACTGCAGTTACAATTGCATAAATAATATTTTGATGTTTAAAAAAAAAAAAGTTAAATACTCATATTTGAAACTAAAATAAAAATAAACCTAAAATTGCGACGGCAAATTGCTGCATGAGTGAGTCATTGAGTCATTCATTCAACCGATTCGTTCAAACGGCTGATTGATTCAGTTTGAAACTATTTTCTTACGTAACTTGTTGTTCATTGGACTGTTTTATAAAATCAATATCACATTTGCAATCGTGCTGATATTTGGAGAAAAAACTGTACTCTTCGTGTGATATTAACTATATCAGATGATATAAATATATAAAAGTCATACGGGGGCATACTGTATTTGCCCCTTTATCTTGAATTTGGGGGGAATTCTGAATGTATTTTAATAGACTAAATCCCGCAGTGAAAGTGTGAACTCTAAATGCATACGCGCAGTAGTCTAACCTACATTTCACAGTGTATGCATGCATATTTGCGATATACTTGATAATGTCAAATCGCATATAATTTAAACAACAATTACGATATTATCGTAGACAATATATATCGCACACTATTCCAAACCCATAAGACTTTAGTTAATCTTCGAAACTCAAATTAATCATTTGGATTAATTTTTATTACATTTTTGGATCTTCTTAGTTGTGGTACCTGGTCTTTCAATAGAGGGACAGAAACCTCTTGAAAATTTCTTTCAAAATATCTTGATTTATGTTTACAAGATTAACCAAATTGTTATGGGTTTGGAACAGCATGAGTAAATGATGACAGAAATTTTGAGTTGACTATCCCTTTAAATTATTGCTATATGAACTTAAAATCTCAGGGTGTACTTCAAGTACTGTTTTAAGTCGGGAATCGGCTGACAAATAAGTTTGAGCATCCCTGTTCTCAATTTTGTATTTAATAAATGAAAACGAGCATCTGTCATTCTGTCAGTGATCCTCGTCTGGATGCTCAGCGGCGGAGGCACTCATCTGGAGGAATATCCACCACCCTAGAGATGCTTCCCGGGCTGGAGGGGGTGGAGCTGGACATGTACGGCAGGGTAAGAGCTTGTCATTCTATCCCTGCACCTGTCAGTCAGTCAGTCAGGAAATGTCACAATGTCACATTGTGCTCAGCGTACCACTCGACCTGCTCATGAATGACAGCTTTATGTCTCTTCATTAGATGCACCCAGAAGGTTAAATGTGCCGTTAGGATGTCTCAGGCTGACAGACGGCTTGTTATTATCTTATTTGTTGTGCAGACGGTGTCGTACGCTCAGTTCCTGTACCCCACTAACGCTCTGGACTGCCACAAGCCCTCAGTGGATCTTGCTCTACCCATGCCCTATTCCAGAAACAGCATCCCTTGTAGTTATCCTCCCTCTCGCCTTAACAGCACCGTCGGCCTGGACCTGGGTATGTCACACACACACACACACAAACTAGTACACCTAGACTCGTGAGGACCTCCCGTAGACATATATTGTCCTCAAATAAGCTTAATGTTTGCAGACTAGCCCTAACCCTATTCATTACAGAAACTTCTTGGTCTTATTTGGTATTACTTGACCAATTTAGATATGTTTTTACTTTTTAATAGTGAAAATATATACACTACCATTCAAAAGTTTGTTTTTGAGCAAGGATGCTTTACATTGATCAGATGTTACAGGAAAGACATGTAAAATGGTACCAAAGTTTTCTGTTCTTTTCCTTCTATTCGTAAAAGAATCCTGAAAAAATATGAAACCATTTTCAGCATTGATAATAATAAGAAATGTTTCTTGAGCAGCAAATCAGCATATTAGAATGATTTCTGAAGAATCATGTGACGTTGAAGACTGGAGTAATGATGCTGAAAATTTAGCTTTGCATCACAGGAATAAATTACATTTGAAAATATACTACAATAGAAAATAGTTATTTTAAATTGCAATAATAATTTGCAATATTGCTGTTTTTACTGTATTTCTGATCAAATAAATGCAGCCTTGGTGAGCAGAAGAGACTTCTTTGAAGAACTGAAAAAGACATTTTTGGCCGAAATGCTGAAGTTTTCAGTTAGAATATTTAAGTTAGTGGAAAAAAACAAAACCAAAAATTACGTTTTGGCAATTTCATTTTAAATTTATATGCAAGTTTTTCTTTTTGGTCATGGTGAGTTGTGTCCACTTGGTCTGGGTATAGATTTCGTGATTCAATTTGATTCCAATTCACAAGCTCTTGATTCGATTCTCAATTTAATTCAATTCGACATCAGTTCATATGTATATGTATATGTATCAGGTACGGTACTTGTCAGTTTTTCTTAAGGAAAAAAATCTTTCAACTAAAGCTTTGAACTATACAGAGAATCCTGTTAGTCCAAAAGTCCAAGTCCAAAAATTAACAAGTCCAAAATATTAAATCCAGTTGCTGTTTCAATTGCAATTTAAATTGCACACAGGTCAGTTTTTATATAAACTTTTTAATTATGTAATTATGCTTACACTCCAATTCATTGTTGAAATGTAATAATTTAATTCATTTATAAAATTTATTTTGAATTTTGTAATAAAATTGACAGGATTTGAAATCTCAGAATTTCTTTCATATCAAAAGTAGCAAAGTTTATTGCGATTATGGGATGGCATGTGTGCTTTAATAAAGGTTTAGCCAAGTTTTATTCATACATCAAAAAACAAAAATTGTGTGTGTTTTATATATAAATATATAAATTGTGTATGTTTTATATATGTATGTACACACACATGCATGTAGCAAACCAATGACACACACATACTTACTCTGTTCAGTTCTGTAACCACTTAAATCTCAGCCACACTGAAATCGGACAACATCTGTAACTCTTTTCTATAACAGATTCCTTTGAATGTGACCTTTTTTGACTTTGTTAAACTTTAGAAGTGTATGTGTGTTGTAATGCCTAAAAACATTTTAACGCTAATTCTGGACTGTGGAGACACTGAAATTATCTTTCATTCATGTCTAAATGGTGAAATTAAATCACACATACACCCTCAGAAAACAAACACACACTCATTCAAGTAAGTGTGTAGTAACTGATGAGAGCATAATAAAGATTTTAATGCTGTATTATTCACAGAGTGGGTAGGGACATTTCAATCAACTTGGTAGACATGGTTATTATCACAGTATTTCAGGCACGTGTTTGTGTGTGTGTGTGTATGTGTGTGTGTGTGTCATAATTACTGATGCTGCTATTCCTGTATTCTAATACTTGAGTGTGTGTGTGAGTCATCAACTCAGCTCTCTGTATTCTTGTACCTTATTTAGTAAGCCTGCATTAGCAACGCATGTGTGAGTGTATCGCTGATTGTACATACTGAGTACTAATTGCTATTTCTACGTGTGTCGTCTTAAAGGAAACGTTAAGCCAAAAAGAAAAATTCTTCAATATTTACTCACCCTGGCAGGTGACAGACGTCTCATTTTAGGTGAACTACCCCTTTAATACAGCTATGCCTAGTCAGTGCAGAAAGATGCTTTCACCATCATCTCAAAACCACGCTTGTACATGCTACTTTCAGTAAGAATATTTTAATTTAATTTAAATAGTTTAATAAATGTATAGGTACAATTTAGACCATTTTGTCCCCAAATTCTCATTACAGTAAAAAGCTCTGGACATTAAGTGCTTTTTTGTAGATCCAGGTATTGTCAAATATTATATATCACTTATGATATTAATTACAGTACACGCACTGTCATACATTTCTTTTCTTTTTCTTTTTCTTTTTTTGTTGAATATGACCTGACTTGTTTTTAAAAGGTTTATTTAAATCAGACCACATAACACAGCTGCTCAGCCATTTAGCTATTCACAGATGTATGTTTGTGTTTTGGGATGTTTAATGCAGCCCAGTTTGGTCTTGTTTCTTGTTTTTGGACATTCATTTACCCATCAGACACATATGTGGGGATGAATGGCTATCTATGTGATTAAGCCTCTGCTGAAAGCAGGGTGGTCTGACCTATAGACACGGATAAACATAACTTATCCAGCTGACGTCATTACTGACACTGGATAATACTGCTTATACACATGCGGTGGACTGTAAAAAAAGATTTTTAAAAGCTGATTATCTTACTAATGTAAATCCTCTGTTTTTACTGTCACTCTCTTTCTCTCGCTGTGGTTCTCTTACAGACAACCGTAATAGAGTACGTCAAACCGTCAGATCTGAAGAAGGACATGAATGAGACCTTTAAGGAAAAATTCCCCCACATCAAACTCACACTGAGCAAAATCAGAAGGTACACTGACATTTTAAATGTTATTTTATTTCAGTAACTGTTTACATGCAAAGGAATATTCCTATGTTAATCAGAATATGGTCATATTGTTATTATGTATGCAATAACCGGATTAAACCGAACTTTTTCAAAAGACAGCTTAATACCTTATGAAAACTAGCTGAATAAAGTACAGTTACATTTTAAAGTACTTAAGTTACATTTGTGCACGAATATGACTACGGTCTTTTGTCGTCATTGTCATCTGTTCTCTTTATGTCTCCCGACATCTCTGTCCTTCCCTCTCTTCATCAGTTTGAAGAGAGAAATCCGTTCAGTGGGAGAGGAGTCTTCTTTGCAGCCGGTCACCATAGCCATGGCATTTGTGTACTTCGAGAAGCTGGTCCTACAGGGGCGTCTCAACAAGCAGAACAGGAAGCTGGTGGCGGCTGCATGCCTCCTACTCGCCGCCAAGATCAGCAGCGACCTGAAGAAACAAGAGGTCAAACAACTGATTGACGTGAGTGATGCTCTGACACACATTCTAGTCAACACACATACACTACAGTTCAAAAGTTTGGAATTGGGAAGATTAGTCTCTTCTGCTCACCAAGGCTGCGTTTATTTAATGAGAAACATTAGTAATATTGTGAATTACTTTTACAGTTTAAAACAACTTTTGTATTTGAATATATTTTAAAATGTAATTTATTCCTGTGATGGCAAAGCTGAATTTGCAGCATCATTACTCCAGTCTTCAGAGTCACATGATCCTTCAGAAATCATTCTAATATGCCGATTTGATGCTCAAGAAACATTCTAATTATCATTGTTGAAAACTGTTGTGCTGCTTCATATTTTAGTGGAAACTGTGATTAAAATAAAAAACTGGATTCGTTGATGAATATAAAGTTCAAAAGAGCAGCATTTTTTTTGATCAGTTGACTGCCTCCTTGCTGGATAAAAGTAACATTTCCAACTGACCTCAAACTTTTGAATGGACTTGTACAAGCATTTAATAGAGCAAAACAAATAGAGATGAAATGCTATATTAGCCAAGACAATTAATTTGGTTGGTGTGTTAACATTTTCATATGTTGATTAAGTAAAAGTGTCAGGCCAAAATACACTCACCCTGTCAAAGTTGTCAGTGTTTGTATATCTATCTATATCTAATGTATATCTATTTGTTTTTCTTTGTCCCCAGAAATTGGAGGAGAGGTTCCGGATTAGTCGTCGGGAGCTGATTGTTTTCGAGTTCACCATCTTGGTGGCTCTAGAAATGGCACTTTACCTACCGGAGAGTAAAGTCATGCCCCACTACCGCAGGCTGGTGCAGCAGACCTGACGTGGGTAGAGCGGAGGCTCAGGGCCGTCGTGAATATGCAGATGAGATGCGTAAAGCAGCCAAAAGTGTGGGACTCTGCGTTCCCGCCATTGCAGTTTGAGGTATCAGAGCGAATACACATCAACACGAAGCTCTAAGGAAGAACTGACGTTCCAAATTATGCTTTTTATAGCAATCTGGCCAGCAGCATTTTTTTTTTTTTTTTCATGGCTGTCTGTTTTTGTGACCACCGTGGGAATACTGCTGAGAAAAACAGCACGGATCTTCTTTTATTGAAAACAGAAGGATTTAACACTCAAACGTCAAGGGAAGAGTTTAACTCCTAAAATGTACAAGTGTGCATGCATGTTTTTAACATTCCTTATCTATTTACCAAAAATAACTTTTATTTAATTTAGACCTGTCCTTTTGTATAGAACAACCTAGCATTCACTGTAACACTAAAGCACTTTAATATGTATGTATGTATATATATATATATATATATATATATATATATATATACATACTTTTTTCATGTAAACCTTATGCAATAATAATATAGTCATTAGCACATATTATATAATATACAGTATGCACTTACATACTTACTTACTCAGAAAGTGTTATTGAGTGACTGACTAAATCTACCTTAGTATTCAAACCTAGTATGTTCATTGTCATTGATAAGGCTTGATTTTACTGTGAAGAGTGCTCTATATTAGAGCTGATTTCAAGAAAAGCACATTTTCAGTGCTGCCGCGTGGTTCTCACTTTTTCTTTTTTTTTATAGATTAAAAAAAAATCGTCCTTTTTTAATTCCACAGAAGAAAGTCATGATGTAAATGTGTAAAAGATGACCGATTGTTTTTTATTTTTAGGTGAACTATTCTTTTAAGACGTCCTCATGGCATTATTTAATCCATTTAAAAGTATTTTTTGAAAGAAATGTTTACTTTTATTCAACAAGGTTGCATTAAATTGATCAAAAGTGATAAAGACATTTATAATCTTACAAAAGATTTCTATTTCCAACAAATCCTGTTCTTTTGAACTTTCTTTCAGAATAGAATCCTGAAGAAAGGTAGAACACAAAATAAAAAAGCAGCAATTGTTTTCAACATTGATGATAATAAGAAATGTTTTTTGAGATTTAGATTTTTAGATCCATTTCTGTAGGATCATGTGACCTGCATTGCAGGAATAAATTCAATTTTAAAATATAATAGAAGAAACAAGAGAATAGAAAACAGTTATTTTAAATTGTAAAATATTTCATAATATTACTGTTTTTGTTGTATTTTTAATCAAATAAATGCAGCCTTGGTGAACACATATAAATGCTAATGTCACTGTTTATTCGTTAATTGCAAACAAATTTCTCATTGACAACTAGTAACATGACCATGTGTCATACTGTATCATGATTTATCCGAAATGTTTTCCAGCACCCACAATCTATACAATATTTTAGATGCTTTTTGTTCCATTTACTCACATAACATCCCTTTCTCAATTGAATTCCTTCATGTCGGCCTGATTTATGTTTCAGTGCAGACACTCTCTGTTAACGCTGTGTGAAGAGGTTGTGTTGTGTGTCAGTAGCCCATGTGGTGGCAGTTGCTTTGTCCTTTATAGACTGATGTATTTTACATACTGTTGTCTCAGTCAATACATCCTTCTATTTACTTACATGATATGCTGGTAATGTTGTCCACAAATGTCTTTCTTATATTTCTATGATGGTATTCTTGAAATAAGACATTATTTTCCAGTAATATAGTGTGTTTGATCAAGTATTGTGCTAAGGAAGCACTTCTGAAGCAGTGAGTATGCTAGAGCCACCCTCTAGAGGAAGCGATTTGCAATCACAAGTCTATAGGAAAGCTGTCAGGAAGTGGATTTTGCTACATAACAAGCATCCCACTCATGAACTCAGGAGATATTTGTAAATCACACATGAATTGGACATTTTTCCAAGCCTTTGTTTTAATGTGTGTGTACCTTTTTTGTGATCAAGAGCCCATGAACAAACTGAAATAGCAGGTTTTATGAATATAAAATAAATTTTACACACATTGAATTAAAGTGCCTAGGATTTTTTATTTTTTTTTGTAATGAATAATTTGATAAAGAGAGAAAATGGAAGTAAAGCAGTTCTATTTAGTTTAGTTACACTGTGATTTTTCTATAGCCTCCAATACTGCACTCTGAAGGCAAAACACAGTAATTACATCAATTGAAAGGGTATTGTTATCATTTTTGTTTTGAAATACATTTTTAACGCGCAGTTTTCTTTGAATCTGAGCATGGTTGAGCCATACCTGTCTGTCACTGGACAGATCATATTCTAACAGACCCGATTTCAATCATAACTGAATTTCATTACGTCATTGCGTTACGTTTCAGTTGTGTCTTTGCCTACGGTACCACTGTGGTTTATTTGAAAGGTCAGAGGTGAAGGAGAGCAGATCCTCAAAAGAATAGGAAATGGATATCATAAAATAAATTACCTCTGATCTCTTCCGGGGAGTTCAGCAGATTTAGCTAATCTTCCATTTATGAATTATGATAGGAAGGCTGGGAATGACACCAGCAGCAGATAAGGCATACGACCTTGAGGACAGCTGTGCTTTCTTGCTACGCTTTGTTCTCTCTCTCTCTCTCTCTCTCTCTCTCTCTCTCTCTCTCTCTGTTCATACCTGTTTTTAGTTTGTGTATGAACAATTTTATTTGTGTGTTAATTGTCATAATTGTTGAATTATCATGCACTTGCGAAAATATATTTTCTAAAATCACTGAAAACTTGTGAAAGTGATTTATTTATTTCTGGACATTGTTAGTAGAGAAAGATCATCCTTATAACACAGCAACAACTACAAGTACTTTTATTTCCACATTTACAAACACAAAGGGTATGGTTAAAAAAAAAAGAGAGAGTGTAACCTGAACGAATTCATAACCCATAATTATTTAAAGGGGTCATATGATGCTTTTTTAAAGATCATTATTTGGTGTAGAATGCGAGCAGCACGCTTCCTTTATTATCACTAAAAGCTGACATCTCAGTTAATCGCGATCTCATAAAGCTCTGTTATAACACTAAAAATATGCACAATGAATCTTTCACAGTGTCTAAAATGAGAGGATTCGTGAGCATGCAATTTCAGCACTGCGGTGAGTAGATTCTAACTTAATCACCTCTGATTGGCCATTGCGTTCCACAAATCAACAGCTGAGTCTGTGATTGGCTACATTATAAATGGAAACTATGTCTAGCTTGCGCGTTAATCATTTTAATGTTAATATTAGTTGTTCTTTTTGCTTTAGTGCAACAGATAAATAACAATTTATATGTTTTAGACACTTTATGTTTAGATAATTTCTATTTTGCGGGAGTCCCGTGAATCATTTTATTCTCCCGCATCCCGCACACACACAAGTCTCTTCCCGCCCGCACCCGCACTCGCCCATCAAGAGTTGTCCCGCGCCACACCCTGTTGCATTGGGTCCCGCGGTACTCCCGCGGGAGTGCAGGTCTCTAGCGCAAAACTCCTCATTTGAACAGTCAATAGCAAATACTTAAACTAATAACAAAACAGTAGCTGCTTCAGAAGCGCCAGATTGTCATAGCAAAGTCAGAATTACCTCCTCTCCTAGGTTCATGAAACAGTCGTCCATAAAATGCATTGCTGTTCTGTTGTAAATAAATCTTAACCAATGATTCCTAAATGCATCTACTTTCGGAAGGCCAAATAAAGTGCTTTTGCTTTCGCCTAGAAACACACAGCGTCTCCCTGACATGGCTGCTTCAACACTAACTGCGGTTACTGAAACCACGCCTTCTTTCGTTGCGTGAACATTTGGACGCATTACGCAAATATTTCCACATAGTGACGTAGATATGTGGGGGCGTGTTAGAACGAGCGGTTTTAGGGGGGCGTGGCAGAGTCTTAACTTTTATAAAGAATATCTCTTTGGTTTTGAGACTTTAGTCTTTGCAACTTCAGGGATCTTATCTATGCACAATCAGCTTGTAACACTCCAAAGAGAAAGGAAAACTTGAAATCGCATCATATAACCCCTTTAAACATTTAAATGGATTTAAAGAGTTGACATTTCTGTTCTACTCCAGAATAAACTCTCAATCTGAAGTTATTTTAGAGTAATAGTGTACTATTTTTGTTCAGTTGTCTGAGTCTAAGTAAACATTTTAAGTTTGCATGTGCAAAACAATAGGTACTGTTTTTCTAGGATATTGGACCGCAATAGTCATTATTCCTGGAAACATTCGTTCCATATTGGGGATTCCTTTTGTGTGTGATATCCTTACCTCCTTTACTCTGGACACAAGGGAATCCCTCATATGTGTCAAGTTTGATGAGTCTGAACAGACAAATTAATTGGAAATTGTATTAATATATAACTATAATGTGACACTAGGGTCATCTGAATGAGCTGCTACACAATTGTACTGTTATATTTATCATACACACACACACAAAATCAGTTTGGTTTATTTGAACACGCTTTATTTGCTTCTATAAGAAGAATAAATCGGCAAAAAAACAATAACATTGTCATTTTTCAAGTATGTATAACATGTATATATAAACCACGATCACAAAGATTGATTTGGCTTTTACAAAAACATTTCAGAAATTGTTCATACACTCATGCATTACTTCAAAGTTACAATATTTAGAGCATTTTGCTTGCAATAAATTGCAGTTCAGAGATGGTCATTTTAATGAGTTTGACTAAAGTGAAATTGTCCAAAGCGGTGATGTTTCTTTGCACACGTACAGCCTAATGAGATTGTGACTGGTTTGACAGATAATATGAAGAGATTGTGATTATAAGTGCTCGGGCAGCTCTGTTTGAATAAAATGTTGATATTTTGTAAAATCTGCACTTCCTTGAAAGAACTTGGATCTCGGCACTTGTCACATGTGGCATTGTAGACTGTAGAAAGCCTGTTCATATCTGTAGTTAAGCTGTTGAAAAGAAAGAGTTGTGAGTCTAAAACGGCACTTAAAATGGTATTGAATTCCTACTGGCCAACAAATACTGTTAACGCAGATAAAGCATCTTTATGTAGTTTTGTGTATTTTGGTGACTACGGTTAAGTGAGTGGAATTCGCTGTAGTATACAGCAAGTACCAATTGGGGCACAGCTAATGTTGCTGCTTTAAAGCAATCCTGCCACAATGCCATAAAGCGTTTTTGCAGAATTTTGCGAAACTTACAAACTCCCAGAAAATACATTTTGGAGGGAGCCTAGAAAGAAAGCCATTTGCCTTATTGTGGAAGTCAGTGTACCATCAGAATTTGATTGATCAGATTTTAAAACTGATATTTCAAGGTAAAAAAAACAAAAACAAAACTTACACACAGTTGCTTTAAAGACAATTTGATTTAGTCAAAAAAACATTTTGTAATCTGGCTGATGAGAAT